CATCAAAAAAAAAGAGGGGGGGGGGGAGGCATGGGGAGCAGGGGGTGGTGCTACCATCGAGGTCACTAGTCTCAATATTTTTCTTTCTTTTTTTTAAGCTGTAGACACTTCCTATCCAGAAACCAGTATCTTCGCCTTTTCTTGATAAAAGTGGAGTTTTCTGTGGCGAAAGTTGGAAAACGTCCAATTTTTCTTTCTCACTCTTTTGAACATCTGGCATGGGACCTGGTGACCGAGCTGTGACAGCACCTCGGTGGCCAACAAGGGCCAGGCAGGGGTTAAAGTGGAAGCCCCACGAGCCTGAGTTTTCTGGGGTCTCCTCCTGCCCCAGGAGCAGAGGGGGAACTATGTGGGCTGTTTTATTTTCCCCCGCTGGGTTAAATGTCTGCAAACACCAATTAGAACAGTTGGTTTTGTTTTGTTTTGTTTTGTTTTGTTTTGTTTTTATCTTCTTCTTCTAAGAGAGATTTTTGCTACAGGGCATGTGCATTTGCCAGAGATAGAAAGCGATTTGGGGGGTGGGGTGGGGGGATGGCTGCGCCACAATCCTTTCTCCTGCATTCTCCTCTCAGGATCTTGAGCACAAACGCACGCCGCCGGCCTGAGTTTAAGCCACCGGGTCCGGGATTCAAACGCATTCAACTACATGGGGGTCCAGCAACATAGCCATTACGCCAACTGCTGGTCCCCCGTGTGCCATCTTTAAGCCGCGGTGTTCCGACTCAAACCGAAGCCTACTACGCGACATAATCCTTACGCCATCTGCTGGCCCCACCAAGTTAGAGGCCTAACCGGCAGCCCCACGGCCTGGTGGTGAACGGAGCCAGATTCCAGGATTCCCAGCCCTGGCGACCTGAAACACACGCCAGGGGTGACTGCCCGCCTGCCCCGAATCCCGACGGGATGGGGACATGGAGAAGGGATGGCGGTGTGGCCGTCTCCCACGGGGGTGCTCTCGCTCCCTCTCTCCGGTGAGAGCGCGTACACTGGTAAAGATTTTAAATAAAATAATCCATGAGTTTTCTGTCTCTAAAAGAACGCAAACACGGCTGCAGACCTCCCCACAGAGCACTGCCCGTCTAGGGTCCTCGGCGTCCGCGCTAAACAAAACCCGAGGACATGCCATTTATCGGCCCGTTTGTGTCCTCACGGGTCTCTGAGCTGCACGTCAGCCCCACTTCACACGCGAGAAAGCTGAGGTCGCAGAAGGGTGTGGCCTACCTGTCGTCACAGGGTGGCGCGTTCTCTCCCCGGGACGCGACGCTTTGCTGTGTGCTTTCGGCAGTCCGAGGTGGGCCTCAGGCCCAGGTGGCTGTGGCGCAGATCTGGAGTGCTCCCTGTTCCACCACGCTGTCCTGGGGGTCCCCCAGGCGTCCCCACTCGGCGCTCAAAGCCTGGGAGGGTGGAGGTGGGAGCCACAGGGCGCAGGCGCAGCGCGGCACCGGCGCAGGCGGGGAGGACCACCAGGCCCAGGAGGCCGGGTGGGAGACTGAGGCCACGGGCCAGGCCCGGGACGGGGGGCCTCTCTGTGGCCAGGTGCAGCCCCCCAGGTGGACCTCGTCAAGCTGTGCAAGGTGAGGCTGAGTGGACGCAGGTGGGAGAGGCCCTGCGGGGACGCGCTCTGCAGACCCTCGGAGCAGCCTGGGGGACTCAGGCCCTCGGGTCCCGCCGCATCGCTGGGCAGGGAGAGGAGCTGGGCCAGAAGCTGCCCAGCCGGACTCAGATTTGGCCTAAACAGGCTGTCTCGCTTCACGTAAGTAGATTCCAAGTAATGCACGCGGCACATGCAAAAAAACGTGTCGTTTATCTGAAATTCAAATTGAACGGGCCAGCCCCGGCAGCAAAATGCCTTGCACAGGGCTCTTAGGGGCTGGCAGAGGCCCCTTCGTGGCTTCCTGTGTCCGCCCAGCATCCTCGCGATCTGCCCGGTAATACGGGGCCCTGCTGGTGCCCATTTCTTATTGAGTTCTTCGTTTGCAAGAATAGCTTAAGGAAAGTTGCTTCATCAGCTTGCAGATGCGACACCCTCAGCCAACAGGTTGCCCTTGGGAAATGACTTCTCAACAGGGTGGCAGGTCACCAGCCCTTTGCTCCTTTTTATTTCCTGCTTGTTTCTCTCTCCTCAGGACATTTGGTGGGTTTTTATCCTCAGGCTTGTTCTGAGCATGCGCCTTTCTGTCAGACAAAGGCAAATGCTGGGCGGAAAGCTGGGCGGCAGAAGGCCCAGTGGTGGTTAAGGCGCTGGACTTCCAGGTACGATTTCGAAGGTTCAAGTCCTGGACCTGGCAGCATGCTTTCTCACTTTCTCTCTCTGTCTCTCGTCAATATAATATTGTAGAATAAAGTCAAATAAAACATTTTTTATTATTATTTTATTTATTTAATTTGACCAGAGAGAGAGAGAAAAAGGGAAAGTGAGAAAGCAAGCCACCAGGTCTGGGACTCGAACTATGGTGGGCCATGTGGGAGTACAACACCTTAACCACTACGCCACCTGCTGGCCCTAAAACAATTTTTAAAAAAAAAAAAAGAAGAAAGAGGCCAAGAAATACCTAAGGAGGGAATAATAAAACTTAAGTGACATCCAGGAAGATTGTACACCCCATAGTACTCAGTGAGGAACTGAGGAAGGGACTGGAGCTCTAGGGAATAAATAGCTTGTTGTACATTCCAGGCACCCTTGCCCATCAGACACCCAATCTAACAAGACCGCCATTAAAGTCTGGCGTTGCTGGACCTCATGTCTCCAAGTCCATTCTTTGACGCTGGGTGGGTGAGTGCATTTCTCACATCTGAGGACCTTAGAAATTGGTTTAAGTTTCCAAACATTGAGTGTATCCTAAAGTTTCCCATTCATTTTTAGCTTCTTTACACGGCAGTGAGGGAACTGAGCCCATTCAGTCACAGACTAAGTATCCAAACAGACATGCCTATGATATGGTGTCCTACTTACTCAATCTTTTTTTTTTTGGAGAGGTTTCTGCTATAGGGCGCGAGTGCTCGCCAGAAAGCCAGAGAGAGACAGAGAGAGAAAAAGCGAGAAATCACCCCCGGGGGGGATGGCCACGCTGCAATCTCTTCTCCTCCATTTTCCTCTCAGGACCTTGGGCACGCACGCACACGCGCCCGGCATGACTTTAAGCCACTGGGTCTGGTACTTGAACTGCGGTCGACTACATGGGAGTCCAGCGACATAGCCATTACACTAACTGCTGGTCCCCTACTTACTCAATCTTGAAGTCACAAAATGTGGAACAAAAAAATATTATGCCACACTGAAAATTCATCATAAAAGTAATCAACAACTGGAATCGATTAGAACTCTTTCAGGAGGGCAAACATATATTGGGGTGTGGGAAAAGTCATGAGATATTTTTGTTTTTCTATGCAAAAGTATGTCATGACTTTTCTGACAACTCAATATTTCCTTTCATGAGAAAATACAAAAAGGCTGAGCTAACCCCCAGCAGAGTGGTTAAACAATCTGTGTAGGAAGCCAGATCTCACATGGCCAACTACACAGTTCAAATCCTAGGCCCAGTGGCTTATAGCACAAGGACACCTGGGGCCACCAGGTAGTGTGGTGGTTAAGGTGCTGGACCCCCACATGGCCAGCCACACTGACTTGGAGACTTGCTTTCTCACTCTCCCTCCCTTTCTTTGTCTCTCTCCAGCCAAACTGAAGACTAATAATAAACAAATATAATTCTAAAAAAAAAAAAAAAAAAGAACAGGGACATTGGTCTAAGCCTGTGTAGACCAATCAGTGAGAAGACCATAGGACTTGCCACCAGGGCCCAGGTTTTTAGGGTGGGTCAGGAATTGAACTTGGGCCTCCCACGTGGCCTCAGCCTGCCAGAGGCTAGACCCTGTTCTAATTCTCACTCACCTGCATGGGACTTTCTCTGCTTCCCATTCAGATCATACTGAGTATCCGTTAAAACGTTTTTGCCACATTTCACTAGGAGGCTGTCGACAGCTCCTGAACGTGTCTACATTTCTTCTGTTGTGGTTACTTTGAAGTTTGTTGAATTATATTGTTTTGACAGGACTGTCACATCTCAAAACGTGTTGCTGACTAAAAACATATGCAGGACCTTTTTTCTTTCTCTTTTCCTTTCGTTTTCTTTTCGTTTTTTTGTTGTTAAAGAAAAAACACCACCACTGTCTTGCAACCAAGTATATGGCCACAAGAGGACACCATAAGGCCACATTTCTGCTCCAGGTAACGCAGATGGAAAATTGAGAGCTGGTGCTTGTGAAAGTTGGGGAACTTTATTCCTTTTTTTTTTTTTTCAATTTTTTTAATTTTTAAAAAATTTGCTATAGGCCACTGCCCAGAGAGAGAGAGACAGAGAAAGAGAGAGAAAGTAAGAAAGCAAGCCACCAGATCTAGGACTTGAACTGCTGTCGGCCATGTGGGAGTCCAGCACCTTCACCACCACACCACCTATTGGCTTCGGGACCTTTATTCTTAATCTCTTTCTTCATTCCAAGAGCTACATCTCTCAGTGGTAACATACACATAGTTTGGGAGCGTGCTACTAAAACTAAACACTGGCAACAACATTCATAATGAATAGTAATCATAATAAGCTGCAGAACTCCCAGCGAATAGGAACTTTAAAACTATACCGTATTGGGATGAGCAGACAGTGTAGTGGTTACATCGCTAGACTCCTACATGGCCATCCATGGTTCAAGTCCTGGACCCAGTGGCTTGAAACACACACCGGGCACGTATGTACATGTGCATGCCCAAAATCCCAGGAGGAGGATAAAGGAGATGGGATTGCGGTGTGGACACCCTCCCTGGGAGATGATTTCTCACTTTCCCTTTCACTGTGTCTGTCTCTCTCTGGCGAGCGCATGTGCCCTAAGGTAAAAACCTATTAAAAAAAAAAAGTACTGTATTTATCAACTATGCTTTGTTCTAAGTATTTTGTTGTCTTGTTTTTTTAGGTTTTTGCCATAGGGTGCATGCACTCATCAGAGAGAGAGAGAGACAGACACAGTGAGAGGAAAAGTGAGAAATCAGCCCCCTAGGGGGATGGCCACACCACAACCCCTTCTCCATTCTCCTCCTGGGATCTTATGTACACATGTACATATGCCCTGTGTGATTTTCAAGCCACTGGGTCTGGGACTCATACAGTGGGCCATATGGGAATCCAAAGCCATGGCCATTATCCTGCTGGCCTGTGTTTTTAGTTATTGTATTAGGGTTGAATTACTGTTTAGATCAATAGTGATAAGCATAAATTGAAGAAATCTGAAACGCATATAAATTAGTCTCCAGAACACTTTTTTAAATAATTATTTTATTTTTATTTATTCATGCATTTATTTTTTAATTTGACCAGAGAGAGACAGAGGTTGAGAGTGAGAGAGAGAGGAAGTGAGAAAGCAAGCCACCAGATTCAGGACTTGAACTCTGGTGAGCCTTATGGGAGTGTCCAGCGCCTTAACCACCACGCCACCTGCTGGCCCCCAGGATAATTTCTTCTAAAATAGGCCCTCCAGCCAAAGTTAAGAGCATAATTGAAATTGAGGATTTACCCCCTCTTATAGTAAAAAGGGCCTTTCACAAACTCCATTTCTTACATCTCCAAGGGAACATCTGACTTTCGGAAATACTGTAATGGGCGCATTGATGGATACAGCATAAGCAGGGAAGAAAGGAATAAGACTTTTAAGCATGCACGTACGCAAGTGAAGTTGCACTTACATGGGGCTGAGGCAAAAGAGAAAACCGAGATTTGGTCATCAGAGAATCTGTTCAGCATTTAACTAGCTGTTCAGCATTTAATTTGAGAGATTAACTTCCCTCTTGAGCAGCCATTTTTGTCTCTATAATGGATATTCACAGTATCTACTTTTGAGGGCATAAATGTTAGGAACTTAAATGTACTGGGTGTTTTTCTATGCAAAACTGAGTCATGACTTTTCCAATGACTCCATCAATTACCTGGTGCCTAGCAGCTGCTGAACTGGCTACATGAATGACCATTTATTTTACATATTCAGGCTGGACAGATGATAACACTTGAGAAATGCCACTTTTGGGGGCCGGCAGGTGGTGTGGTGGTTAAGGTACTGGATTCCCACATGGCCGACCAGGGTTCAAGTCCCAGACATGGTGGCTTACTTTCTCACTTTCTCTCTCTCTCTCTCTGTCTCTCTCTGGTCAAATTTTAAAAATAATAAAACGATGAATACAATTAAATAAAATTATTTTTTAAAAAAAAGAAATGCTACTTTTTGCTGTCAGTGTTAGAAGAAATATTTCCATGTTACTGTGCATTATGAATTGGGTCTCATTTGAAATTCCTCAAGGAATGCCAGGAAAGCTTTCAATATATTTTTTAAGTTTTATTTTTCTGTTTTTTTTCTTTCTTTCTTTTGTTTTTTAAGTTTTTGCTACAGAGCAAGTGCACTTGAGGGAGAGAAAGGGGAAAGTGAGAAATCACCTCGGGAACCAGCAGTTAGCGTAATGGCTATGTCACTGGACTCCCACGTAGTCGACCGCGGTTCGTGTCCCAGACCCGGTGGCTTAAAACTCACGCCGGGCACGTGTGCATGCGTGCCCAAGATCCCGAGAGGAGAATGGAGGAGAAGGGATTGCGGCATGGCCATCCCCCCTAGGGGGTGATTTCTCGCTTTCTGTCTCCCTGTCTCTCTCTGTCTGGTGAGCGCACGTGCCCTATAGCGAAAACCCTCAAAAAAAAAAAAAAAAGAAAGAAAGAAAGAAATCACCTCTGGGGGGCTGGGCACAGGGTGATGGCCATGCCACAATCCTTTCTTGGGATTTTGGGCATACATGCACATATGCCCAGCACAATCTTTTTATTTATTTATTTATTTGACCAGAGAGAGAGGGAAAGTGAGAAAGCAAGCTGTTATTTATTTATAAATTGACCACAGTGGGACAGAGAGAGAAGGAAAGTGAGAAAGCAAGTTGCCAGGTCCGGGACTCAAACCATGTAGGAGTCCAGTGCTTCACCCACCATGCCACCTGCTGGCTCCATGCATGACTAGGCACATTTCTTTCATGAAAGAAATGAAAAAATAAAACAGCAACAGCAAAAAAAACCCTACCTCTTCTTGCTTTAAAGGAGTCTCTTTCCATAAAGATGTGAGTTTCAACGCCAAAAGGGTGAGGCAGGAGAATCTAGAGAATCTAGTGTTCAAGACTAGCCTGGACAACATAGCAAGACCCTTTCTAAAACACCAACAGACAGACATAAGATCACGTGTAACATTTGAATTTCTGGTGTTTACCAACCATAAAATTCTGTGCCCAAGGCTTATAAAAGGTTTCCTGGCAAATCTGTAACTTGATACACCAGGGTTTGGTTCTCAAAACCTTTGGGTATTGGGACCAGCAGTTAGTGTAATGGCTATGTCGCTGGACTCCCATGTAGTCAACCGCAGTTCAAGTCCCAGACCCGGTGGCTTAAAACACGCTGGGCGCATGTGCGTGCGTGCCCAAGATCCCAAGAGGAGAATGGAGGAGCAGTGCAGCGTGGTCATCCCCCCTGGGGGTGATTTCTCAATTTCTGTCTCTGTCT